GTGACTCGCTAAACCAGGGCCAGCACTAGACCAGCATAAGGGGCCAGTTTATGAGGTCGTTCCTCAAAAGATTTTACATGAAGTCATCAGTCATGTCACATATACGCTGCTTAACCCCTATAAAATCCCAAGCTTATGACATACTGAAGCTTATTTTCAGTAATTACACAACCGGCAAGACCAGACTGGGTGACTCGCTAAACCAGGGCCAGCACTAGACCAGCAAAAACCAGCTCAAACCAGAATGGAATTCATGCAGGTCTGTGCTGTTTTTTATTAGCAGGGACATCATTGTTTCATGGTTTGTTAGCTTGTGGCTATTGTGCAAGCTCGGAGCCAGTTTATGAGGTAGTTTCTCAAAAGAGGTAATCCATTACAAACGACTAATCCTCTCAAACTCATATCTCCCAAGAAGTAGCCTCACTGCTCATTATTTTACTTCTACATTACTGTAAAACTTGTGTACCAACTAAAAGTACAAGGGAATATCCAATAGTCCTTTCAGTAGTTTATTTAAAAGAAATAACTGTGATAAAATAATCAAAGTAAACATAATTTAAAAGATCTGTCACTTTCCCTGATTTTCAGCAAGGCAGACAATTTTTTATGAATGGCTCATGCTATTTAAAAAACCCAGAAACTAGCCAGAAGAAAGTGGTCCAGAAACAGCTGCCTCAAATAATTCTGAATGAAATGGAAAGCTCACAGAGCTGAATCAAAAACTAATCTGACCTGTTTAGGTGAGGTTTTCTTCTTCAGCACAGAGATGTTTATCCATCAGTTTCATGTTTTGTGTGATAAGATGCTTCAACAGATTGCTCTCTGAGTTTATGGCATTTCTCACACCACACTGCTCATATTCATAATCGCAAGCAAATTACATAGAAGGACAGACATGGATATACATATAGAGGAAATATATCGTTGTTGTCGGAAGAAACTTCGTATCTCCACATTGGTAACTTTACAGGAAAAGACCTACTTTACTTTTAATGTAAGTCTATGGAACCAGACTTTTTTCCATGTCATTTTGAGCCGTTTCGTTTGGTCCATTCATCATGAAGTTTACACACAGTGTATAGGACCATGAGTACTTTCAAACTATGTCAAAAACTGAAAAACAACAAAAACAACAAAAATGGAGATACAAGGTTTACTTCTGACAGCAGCGATATGGTGTAAATGCATGGTGCATCGTTAATGATGTTCCCTCAGAGACAAATGAGTAATGAACATAATTCTTATTACGTCAGTAACTGTAATGAGATTGCAGTGATTCATACTGTAATTTATGACACTACTTCATTACAGGAAAAGGTAATTGCAGCACTTTAACATGTTACTTGCACCACCAGCACTGCTTGGGTGTCACATTTTGTTCATGTGTAGCACCTTAGATCAGTAAACTTCACAAACATGAAAGGCAAACCTTCCAGGGTCTGAACAACTGCTCTTTTATAATGTTAAATGCTCTAATAAACTAAAAATGGAAACATTAACATGGTAACACGAGACATTCTGTTTTTGCTGTATAGATAACTGTATTAAATAGAGACACCACTGTATCGTATCAAATTATGAATCATAAGACCCCTAATGTGTATATGGGCTGTACAATATGAACAAAATGCTAATATTGTCTGTTGCTACATTTTGCAGTTGCAACTTTGAAAGGGATGCAGGAAGGTGTTTCAAGTTGGGGGTGCTGGAATTTTAAGCAGCGTATATGTGACATGACTGATGACATCATGTAAAATGTGAGGTTTAACACTGAAATGCACACTGAGCGGCAGATGTAACTGTTGATAAAAATTTCATTATGTTAGATTATTCCTTATAGGCTTCTTTGGGAGGCAGAACTGGTCTATGACTCTACATAGACTTTGAGCCCATTTACACCTGGTCACTTCATGCGTCTTGAGTATCAGGATTATATCACACACACACACACACACACACACACACACACACACACACACACACACACACACACACACCTTCTACGCCGCTTATCCTCCTGGGTCGCAGGGGGAAGCCGGAGCCTATCCCAGCAGTCATTGGGTGGAATGCAATATATCCCCTGGACAGGTTGCCAGTCCATTGCAGGGCACACTAACACCTAGGGGCAATTTAGCGTGTCCAATTGGCCTGACTGCATGTCTTTGGACTGTGGGAGGAAACCGGATGTTCCCGGAGGAAACCCATGCAGGCGGCGAGAACATGCAAAATCCACACAGAAATAACCCTGGTCGGCCCGGAGAATCGAACCCAGGCCCTTCTTACCGTGAGCGTAAGTCTTATTAATAAACTTAAAGTTTAAGTTTATTAATAAGACTTATCTTACACCAGTTCGCCTTCATGAGATCTCTTCAGATTGTTCAAATCTTTGCTTTAAATGTAAACAGCAAAGAGGTACAAATATGTTTTTGACTATGTTGACCTCGTTCCTATCAAACGTTGATATGGAATCTGTAATTAATTATAAAAACAAAGTATCTGTTTTTTATATTAATATCTTTGGCCAAGAAATGTATTTTACTTTTGTAGCCAGCAGTCAGTTGTAATCAGGTTGATTTCTGGTTGTGCCATTGCTTCCATTAGAGCAACTGACATACAACTTAAATCAGAAAATGTAAAGTTTTGGCAAATATGGCAGCTGTCAATATCTGTGAACCTGAGTTTGTGTGCAAATAAAATGTCAGTTGTAAAGAGAAGACAGTAGTTTCCAAGGCTGGAGCACCAAAAATGTTAGAAGCTACAGAGAAAACAACCATGCAAGACCTGGTAGACCACCAAAACATCTTTGAGAGATGTATGAGAGAAAATCAAGCTCCACTTTTGCATCAGATCTGAAAAAATCCAGAGGTGTTTCTGTCCATCCTTCCACTGTGAAAAGACAACTCAGTCTGAAAGGATGTGTAGCTGTCAAGAAGCCCTTACTAAGAAAAAGAAACAGGCCAAAAAAAATTGCAAGGCAAAAAAAAGAAGCTGCTGATGTTCACAGAACAATGGACTGGCCACCCCAGAGTCCAGATGTCAACATCACTGAATGTGTGATGATTACTTGAGAAGCAGAAAAGGTAACCAACTTCTAAGACTGAGCTTTGGAGGTGTGGAACAATATCCCAGCAGATTTCTTTGAAACACTAAAAGCAGGTCTCCTGAAGAGAATAGTAACTGTAATAAAGGCAAAAATGATACTATATTTAGTTGTTGAGGCTTCTGTGTGATTTTCTGTTAAATATGTTTTCTGCTTTTTTCCTGTCTTTAATTTTTGTACAGTTCTGTATAACATTTTGATGTTTACTATAAGGAATCCTTGAAGAAGCCCTTTTTTGGGTGTACATGTGTATCTGTTTCTTGTTACAATACCTGCATGTGTGTGTGTGTGTGTGTGTGTGTGTGTGTAGTAGTAGTAGATAGTACAGTATACTGCGCAGTGACAGATGGTGAAGCACCTCAGTCAGTTTAATAGCCGGATTTTCCATTCAATCGGATCTGCCTGTGGGGAAGGAGGCGTGGGGGGTTGGGGGGTGGTAAATATAGTCTGACTGACTAATCTATGTGTGTGTGAGTTTGTGTGTGTGTGTGTGTGTGTGTGTGTGTGTGTGTGTGTGTTGGGGGAGGCTGGCACGTGCATGTCACTGTTTCTCGATTAAAAGTGGGATAGATAATACAACGCAAGTGATTACAGTAATACGCTGTTGATTCGAGTGATTTTACCACTCACACAAACACAGCTTAAAGTCTTAGTAGCCATGGCAACAGGTGCAGCGCTGTAACCTGTGGATGCCGTCGCATTGATTTGCACCTTTTGCACAATGACTGTCTATTGGCTGAATGTAACATATTGGAAAAAACAAAACATACAATGTGGCCTGTGCAAAAGTAATGGCACATTTTATTTTGTTAGAATTTTTTTCCAATACATTAAAGGGAGTTATTTCGCATTTGAGCCCTTGCAAGCACTTATTGGGTGATTTTTTAGGCACAACAGGCAGTGTTTATATCAAGTGCCTAAATAATTTGTTAGACTAATGGAAATAAAACCACTCGCCCACTCCCATTGACCTCCATCCAATGGCAAAATACATATTACACATATTGCACCCACACATCTTGGCCAATCCAGACAAAAATGTACCTTGTAATGACTTTGTCGACATTCTTTTTCAGAAAAGACATTCCAGGAGGCTCATAAAGTGTAAAGTGAATGTATTCATCTCAGACGTGTGTTCCTGCTTGTCTTTCTACTTGCTAAGCAACCAATATTCATCCACATTGTCATCTGAGTATGAAGGCCAAATAATTTCGTAATGTTACTAAAGAATAAACCGACCTCCAAAGACTGTAACTCAGTCCATGGGAAAACACTGAGGCAGCTCCCGCTTTCAGATGGTTGTAATCCTGTTTTTGATTTTGGGTGAACTCCTCTTTTGAATTTAGCAAAAGAACATAAATTGTGCACTAAAGTTTGCAGAAAATGTCATATATAAGTTTGTTTCCTATAGAGGATGTGTTAACTTTAATCTATAAGGGCTAGAAAAACAGACCCGTAGTTAGGTAAGTAATGGGATATTTAATGCTTCAAGTAAAACTTTTATTTTTTATACCTCAAATAAAACTGAATAACTTTTATAGATTTGAGTGTTGTGAAAGTACAAACCTTAGAGACGGTATCTTTTTCCAAAAAGCTCACTGACCAGGCATTGGATGGATAAAAACTGATACATGGAAAGTCCATACACACGGATGTGACGATAGCCAAGCAGAGTGCAGTTAACAAAATTATAACTGTTGTGTTCAGCTTAGCGTTCAGTGATGTTAGTTGCTCCGTGTACATGTGGACAGAGCATTTGAGGCTAAGGGCCTGGCATATTAGAAACTTTTTGTACATCGATCAGCAACCAGATTAGCTTTCTATCATTGAAACCACTGATTCTAACCGTATCATTATTAATACGTTAAAAATGAACCTCTCATTTTTTTCTCTCTGTCAGTTTTTCGCCATCTTTGCGTTCTCCACCTGTGGCTCTTATTCGGGAGTCTTCCGGATGAGTGTGGATTGCAAGAACCGAACAGAGAGTGACCTTGACATCGAGGTGGAGTTCGCTTACCCGTTCAGGTCAGTCGCATCGCTGTCACTGTCGCCGTCCACCCCCTTGGGCCACAGTGAAACAACCATTAATTACTATTGATGTTCTGCCATTGCTGAATCATTATGCTTGATTCACCCAGTTTTCAAGCCGCATCATAGGTCAGTGTGAGGTACGGTGTTAGCCTGCTACACATCAAATTAAGCAGAAATGTACAGACTTTAGGTATATATTTTTTGTGTCTGGGCTGTGTAACTGAACTGATTGCAAAGCCAATAAATTAATTTCAAAAAGTTTTTTTAAAGATCACAGGCATGCTAATATACACAGTCATTCTACAGCCTAAATAGTTAACCTACTGTGCCCTGCGCCTGTCCCCGGGGCCCCGATGACAGCCATAAGAGCCGACAGGAAGGCAGGGCCTGAATCCCGAACACTGCCGAGAGAGGTGCAAGTGATGGGCAGGAGGAGGACATCAGCCGTCAGAGAAGGAATGACAACGATGGCCACGAGAGGCACGAAGGCAGGATGCAAGTCCCGAACTCCGCCGGCTCTCACCGCTGTTATAGGGGGCCAGGAGACAAGCGCAGGGTCCACTTACCTTTAGAAAACTGTTGGCTTTCTATACTATTTAAATGTAATTTTGCAATTATGTAATTACATAGTTAGTTACCTAATAAATTACATTAGCATTCCTTATTGACAGGAACAGATCTGTGCTTCTGGCTGTTTCTGTGTGACAGTAATATTAATATTCAGTGACACACGCTCTCTGTGCTGGCAGGCTTCATCAGGTGTGGTTCGATGTACCAACATGTAAAGGGCCGGAGCCAGAGCGGCTGTTTCTGGAGGGGGATTACTCTTCCTCCGCCGAGTTCTTCGTCACCATTGGCGTTTTCTCCTTCCTCTACTCTATGGCAGCACTGTCCATCTACATCTTCCTGTTGGAGAAATATCGTGAAGGCAACCGCGGCGCACAGGCTGTAGGATTTTTCTCTCTTTCATTCCTTCTAAAGCCTACTCGATTAATGATTAACACGCTCTCCTCCAGACATTACTTTGCTATTGTATACAATGGAAATGACTATTTATGCATCTTCTCTGCCACTGATGGATTACAATAGCATGAGTACAATCAGATTGATGGCCAAAACAATGCTACTTGCTAGTTATATACACCAACCAGCCAGTCATTTGTCCATTTTATCATCCCCACTTACCACATAGGTGCACCTTGTAGTTCTACAGTTACAGACTGTAGTCCATCTGTTTCTCTGAATACTTTGTTAGCCCTCTTTCACCCTGTTCTATGATGGTCAGGACCCCCACAGGACCACCACAGAGCAGGTATCATTTGGGTGGTGGATCATTCTCAGCAAAGCAGTGTCATGTGGTGGGGGGTGTGTTAGAGTGGGTTGTTCTGGTACGAGTGGATCAGACACAGCAGTGCTGCTGAAGTTTTTAAACACCTCAGTGTCACTGCTGGACTGAGAATAGTCCACAAACCAAAAATATCCAGCCAACAGCATCCTGTGGGCAGCGTCCTGTGACCACTGATGAAGGACTAGAGAATGACCAACACAAACTGTGCAGCAGCAGATGAGCTATCGTCTCTGACTTTACATCTACAAGGTGGACCAATGAGGTAGGGATGTCTAATAGAGTGGACAGTAAGCAGACACAGTGTTTAAAAACTTCAGCAGCACTGCTGTGTCTGATCCACTCGTACCAGCGCTACACACACTAACACGACACCACCACATCAGTGTTACTGCAGTGCTGAGAATGACCCAAATAATCTGTAGTGGTCCTGTGAGGGTCCTGACCAGAACAGGGTGAAAAGGGACTAACAAAGTATGCAGAGAAACAGATGGACTACAGTCTGTAACTGTAGAACTACAAAGTGCACCTATATAGTAAGTGGAGCTGATAAAATGGGGCAATGAGTGTAGAAACAAAGAGGTGGTTTTAATGAAGTGGCTGGTCAGTGTATGATCAAAGTAATAGCTGAAAGGCCCCCACGATTTAAAGCAATACTGTATTTTGTCTCAACTCAAAGCTTCATCATGCCTGTACCCTCCTGAGCTCTGATTACATTATTGTACCTCAAGAGGACTGAGTTTAATGAAGGTTATCAAAGTGTTCTGTCCATATCTACAGTTGTATGCAAAAGTTTGAACACCCTTGGTCAACTTACACAAAATGTGCCATAACCTTTGCACTCAATATGTTTAATTTGGCAAAAACCATTACTCTGCATTAAAATGTGCAGAAGTATATTCTGTGTAGAGGATGTAGTAACTTGTTTTCATATAGAAAATCAACAAAACATGTCATTTGACCAGAGGTGCCCAAATTTTTGTATTCGACTGTGTATACGCTCGCTAGAGATCAATGATCCTTCACTCAGGTTAACCCAAAATTTTATTACACACTTCTATAACCTAAGAAAAGCTCCATTAGTTTGCATTGAAGTTCCTGTAGTTACTGAATAATAGTAGTTATGCCTGGTGTGAGCATGTAACAGCATTCCTTTCAAAATGTTGTGATTGCATGTCATTTTCGTACTTCTATACTTTTATACTTTTCTCCCATATGACCAGAAGACTGAATTCAACATAAGACATAAAGCAATAAAAAAAACTCCCTCATGGTTTTTTGTCTGTATGGTTTGATCAGTATGATCATGTTTCTGCTCAGGCAAGCTCAGAGAACATATGGACCAAAAGAAGTTAAACATTTCAGATTTGGACATCAAGGTTAATTCAAGACACAGGTGGAAAGTATTAGCTTCAAATTAGCCATTAAACTTGCTAAAAAGAACCTCAGTGAAACACCTTCTGGTGTTTGAAAACACTGTGATGTGGATTTGGTGTGTGCTGCGTTATCTGATACTACTGTTTCTCTTTTCCAGGATTTTGTGGTGACAGCTCTGTTTACCTTCTTTTGGCTGGTGAGTTCGTCAGCGTGGGCTAAAGGCCTCTCGGATGTTAAGAAAGCCACAGACCCTGATCAGGTCATCAACCTGATTTCTGCCTGTGACCGCGAGGAGAACCGCTGCCGAGAAGTGCATGAACCCGTCGTCTCCGGTCTAAACACATCTGTGGTTAGTGATCTGTCTGCCGACACTGTTCGGACATATCTTTAGTTTTTAAAGGGGAATTCCACCAGTTTTTCAAAACTTCTGAATAATTCTGTCATTGAGTTGTAAACAAGTCATGCAGAGTGTTTTGATGTCTAATAGTGCATTGTAGGGAAGCTTACTTGGTTAGATTTTCTTGCAGTGGTGGTGATAGGAGTAGCGATATAACCATGTAACCAAAATATAAGTACTTTATTTACTATCCAAACGTCCAGTGAGCCTACAAGTGTCTCCCAAATTTTGGGGGATACTTGCCCTGTATGTACCTCTTCACCATAAAGATTTTTAAAAAATACATTCTAGGCCTAAATCCTGTACAAAAACAGACACCAGACAGCATAGCTATAACCATTTCATGCCATAACTTTTTTTAGAGAAATTGAACTATTCAGATGTCTGATTCCTATCACCACCACTGTGAACAATTCTGACTCTCTAAATGTCTCTAAAAAGAAACATTTCACTTCAAAACACTCTGAATGACCTTGTTTACATCTTAATGATTTAATTATGCAGAAATTGTAAAAATTTGTTGAAATCTCTTTTAACCAATGAACCGCAGAACCCCAGAATATACTACCGGTTTGCAGTGATTCAATATGAGTGTAACATATGCAGGCAAAGCCTTCTTTACATTGATAACAGTCTTCTACATTGAGCAGTTTTATTAAATCGTAGTGTAATTCACTTGACCGAGCCTTAAGGAGTATCTAAATGGGGGGAATGGGAATGTTACAATAAGAGCTGCAGTAAAAATGTGCCAGGAGCAAAATAAATGTTATTCTTAAGTGAGTTTTAACAGGGAGTCAATTAGTTAAATACTGTCCCTGCTGACATCTAGTCAAACCCATTTGATTTATAGTATTAACATATTGTAGTTTATCTCATGAAATATTATACCATCTAAACCATTTCCAATAATAACTTGCAAATTTGATTAGTGACTCGCTCTACACAGGCAAATGTGGATAGATGAGTAAGCGGTCGGTCGTCTCTGTGTCTCCTGCAGGCGTTTGGCTTCTGTAACTTGGTGCTCTGGGGAGGAAACCTTTGGTTCGTCTTTAAGGAGACCGGCTGGCTGGGCGCTTTTGCTGGTACCTACGTGCCCTCTGGAGAAAAGCAGCCAGCTCCAGACTCCTACGGACAGCAGGGTGAGTACAGGCCCTGAGCACATTGAGGCTGTGGGATTCCTAACTGACAAGATGTTCCGACATTGTCCCACTCCTCATCGAAGTATTTCAGCTTTGAAGGAATAGTTCAGCAAACAATCGAATTTATGCAGTTTTCCAATTACCCCAGATGTAATCGTCTGAGACATGTGTGGAGTCCGAATTTTGCTTCTTTATATTAGAACTGGAGCTGTGAGGCTAACATTGCTAACAAACACCAGAAGTCAATATTCACCCAAACCTAATGTAAATTCATTTTCAAAACTTCTCTCAACCCTCAAAATGCATCCAGGTCTTCATTAAGTTGCCACACACTGCTGATGTTGTTCAGTGCACAGTATGACTTATTGTTAGCATTTACATATATTTGCCCATTCAGCTCATAGCAGTTTAGCTCTGCTCACTCACACTGACTTTCTAAGTGCTTCAGCCTTGACTGCTTCTGAATGAGGCACAATCCAGGGCAGCCAAATACAACAGAGATCATTTACATATATTGGTCTTGGCCTGTTTAATTCCAAGGGATAAAGAGAAGCTGTAAAACAGTCTTGTCAAAGGGGCACATGCCATTGTGCTACCATGAAAAGTTCCATATCCTCTTTTGTGAAACCACTGCTTTATTTCAACCTGTCAGGTTATGGGCAGGACCCTTACGCTGGATCCCAGGGCGGCTACCAGCCCGACTACGGCCAACAAGGAGGTGGATATGAAGGAGGAAGCTACAACCAGGGAGGTTATGATCAGGGAGGTCCTACCTCCTTCTCCAATGAGATATGAGCCTGTACACACAGCATAGCAGCTCTGCACAGGTGAGAGAAGCGATGCGATGGGCAAACATTTGCTTTTGTCCTTCTGACAAGAGAAAAAGGGAAAATAGTTGTGGATATTTTTAATAATATTAATAATACTGCATTTAATTGAATAAGGACAGACATGGTTATTCAAATATATGCATGTACCCATACTTATCTTACTATTCATTTACTTAAGTGGATATTTAATTTAGACCTAGGTTGAAATAAAAGTTTGATAGATATATCAGAGGACTGGAGTCACATGACTTGCACTCAAGTCCGACTCGAGTCACGAATTTGATGACTTCAGACTCGACTCGAGAAAGTTGGGAAAGACTTGGGACTCGACCCTGACTTTATTTTATTTCGAAAGACAAGAGAAGAGCTCAGGTTCGCCTCCATAAGATGGAAACAAGCGAAGCGTCAACAGCATCAATCCGCCCTCACTTAGCGCTGAAACTCCAGTCTTACTGGAGAAACTCACCAGGCGAACTGACCATTTTCCTCATGATAGCAAAACAAAAGAGACACAGTTCTCTCTGTTCAACCAGTTTTAACAGCTTCTGCAGGTAAAACAATTGCGGCATTCACCTCATGGTGAATGTGTGAAGCTGAAGTTGACTTTTTAATCAGATTCTTATTTAAACTTATTTGAACTTATTTGAATAGGCGCCGGAACATAACTGCTGCTCCATTTCAGGTGGAACAGAATATTCAAATAAGAATCTGATGAAAAAAATCAACTTCAGCTTCACACATTCACCATCATTTTGCTGTCTTTTCTGTAAACTTTTTTCAGCTCAGGTTGGTCTTTTTCATTTCTGTTGTCATCAGTTCAAATTCAATTCAAACTAGCAATTGTTTTCAGTTTGCTGAGCTGTTTTATTTTAATCCTGTGCACCCAATGTCTTCAAATATAAAGTTTTATTTTATATATTTTTAAGTTCAGTAGTACTTTTCTACTCTTTGTGTATAACAGTATGCCTGTCATGGTCACCTGTGTACCATGGATTTTGTATTTTAGTTGGAAGGGTAAAAAAATAAAATAAAAATTAATATATAGCCATACACTACTAACATGCTGTCATTAAAGGGCTATACTTATGTTACCATTATTCAATGTTATGCCATGAATTAGCTGAAGAATGCAGACTGACTTGTTTAGGACTTGAAGATTAGGACTGTTGACTTGGGACTCGACTTGAGACTCGCCTGTACTGACTGATTTGAATCAAGACTCAACTATCTTGACTTGGGACTTGACTCTTAAGTGAGTGTCAAGGCTTGAGACTCACTTGTTACTTGCAACATAGGCTATGTTTACACAGCAGGTAAAAGTGGCCTAAATCTGATTTTCTCACCAAATCTGATTTTTTTTTGTCTGGCTGTTCACAATATCTTTTAAATGTGACCTGTATGCGGCATTAGTCTGAACAGATCAGCTCCTAAACCGACCCGCATGCGTAAAAGAACAATGCTTCATGTGGCTTGTCCAGAGGTAAACAATCATGATGGCCAGCGAACGCCAGTCGATCTTGAAGAAAAAGATCGGATTTGTGCCACTTTTACCTGCTGTGTAAATGTAGCCTTAAAAGATAATGTGAACAGCCAAACAAAAAAATCAGATTTGGTGAGAAAATCAGATTTGGGCCACTTTTACCTGCTGTGTAAACGTGTGACTTGTTCCCACCTTTGATATATATATGTGTGTATATGTGTGTACATCCTTGTTATTGTCCCCACAGACCACAAGGAGATGGCATTTGTTTGACCAAGGAGTGCGGAGCCTGACTATTACCCACAATTCCACACTCCTGAGTTTCCCTATATGAACAGTGAGTGTACAGTCGGAGGGAGGGAGGGAGGGAGGGAGGGTACATGTGGGCGTTTGGGACTGGGCTGTTAATATCATATCCAGTGGGAAATGTGTTGGGCTTAGGAGAAAATCATTTAACCACGCTCTCTACTCTTGTTTTGAATTCTCTGCTGCAGACTCCAAACGGTTGCTTATCTTATTATAATAAAGAATGACTTGAACACACTACCAAAAGAAGAAAACAAGAATTATAATGCATACCTTATATAAGGGATTGAGACCAGTTGGAATGAATTATAGTAATATTAATCATGGAGGAATGTATTTGTCTGTGCTGTGTAAATATTTATGATAATATATATTTGAATAGCTCTATATTGTGAATAAATGCTCAGATGAATGGTTATTATCTGTTCCTGAATTGAGAACAGAAGGACTCACCTGTATTAACCAGTTTGTTTGGTAGTGCAGTAGTATAGTTTTCTTACTTTGACATTTATTTCTTGTGTTTTTTTCCCTCCTCTTGTCTGTCACTACTGAATTCTCGACTGCTCAAACTACAGCAAGAGGGTTGAGTGTGCAGTTTCAGTATGAATGTGTGAATTTATTTTTTTTTATTTGTTTGAAAATATTAGACATAGGTAGATAGAAGTGTGAAAAAGAGAGTGGGAACAAAAGTTGCCGGTAGTTTGAAAGGGAAATGGAAGAAAAGTTCCACATGAGAGGGAGAGAAAGAGGAATGCGGAAAAAGGCAATCATGGGAATTACATGCACTCTTAACCCTTAGACGTGCACAGTCATTTATTGTCATTTTCCCATATTATTTCATTGTAATTAAATGATTAATTACATAGATACATCATTTTGATTTCCATTCTATATCAACGTTTCAGCATTAGGCTTGAGCCGATTGATGATAGTATCATGAATCAGAGACAGAGTTTAACATATTATATCAATGTTATCAATAGACTAATAATAACAATAATAGCCAACAACAGGGGTTTCCACGCTTTTTCATGCCAGGACCTACATGTAGAGGCAGTGTTTGTACCAACCAAAAATGTGTAAAACAAGATAGAAGCCTGCCGGAAATACTTGAGTCCTTGCATTTTTAGTCCACTTTAAATCAATGTTTTTTTCAATCAACAACAAGGTAGTAAACCATAATAAAATAATGACACATTCAGTCTACACTACTACATGCTTAGTGAGACTGTGGAATAGAAAAACAATGATATAATGACACTTATGTTTTCTGTATTTGGCTGGAATCAGCTTTTACTTTCAATATAAACACATTCATACGTTTAATTAATATTTTGTTGAACGTCATATATATGATTTGAATTTGTTATGATCCATGTTGTCAGCTTATTTAGTATACTAGCCGATTCTGTGCAGTGTTTCTGGTATAATGAGTTTATAGCTAAGCTATAGCTGTTTTATTATTTGAACAGGAACCGATTTATTGGCTGTAAACGTAAGATTTATTAAACTGATATCAAGAGCAATCAGAACATACTAAGAACAACAAAAGCATAAGCAAGTTATCTCACAAGCTTCTGAGCAGAAAGTCAAGCATGTTTATTTTAGGTTAGGAGCAGCCTTGCAGTATACGAGAAAACTACTGCCCAAGAATACTTTTGGTAAATGGCAGTGGCTATAAGGCGCAATTGGATGATGCTGCATTGGACTGTGTAGGCTATTTCATTGTCTGAAGTGGACTCAGACCACTGATTTCTGTGCATATGTGAACAAGTCAAATGAACTCAGACCCCTCTAAACAGCCCCAAAAACGAACCAAACTGAGTTTGGTTCATTTGTACAGGGAGATTCACTTGAAAGAGGCCCCAAATTTTCTGTAATAACTCTCACTAGGACAAAGCAATGTGAATGAAACAACATGCAATGTGCTCCTCAGTATATGGAGCTTCGAACAAGCTAGGATGCCCCTGCATCGGAGCGATGAGGTAGGCGCCGGACAGCCGTTACAACGTTTAACCTCCGTTTGCAAATTCTGGATGCATACCCCTGTACCCCTTCAGGTGTCTGGCAGAAAACGGAGATCACTTCCAGCATTGCATATAATGCAATCAATTACACATACGTCAAGCTATGTAGTGTATTTTTTTGGTTTGGATTGCTTCATCCTAACGGGAGTTATAACAGAATATTTGGGGCCTCTTTCGAGTGAATCTCCCTGTAGTTCTTTTTTGTGGTCCGATTGATTTGTGCATTGTGAAAACAAAAAAAGCCCCAGTCCACTTGTGCTTTATAGTGAAGACCTCCATTCTTACCATACGCACAGCCACAGTCTTCTAGTACATAAGCAGGTAAAATCAGACCACCAAGGATCATTTATAAGGTACTACTCAGGATGCCCGTAATCTCGTGACAAGAGAGCAGCGCTGATATACGATGGCAAATACTGAAGACTGAGTCCTCTTTATAGTTTACTTACACTGTGAACACAAAAAAGCAGAGGTCGTTTGCAGTTGGTTCCCTTTCAGGTTCACTTTAGGTTCATTTAAGAAGAACTATATGTGAAAACACTAATTAACTAAATAACATCAACATTTTTGATGGCTAAAGAATGTTTTTTTTTTAATTTCCACACTGTGCATATAAGTTTTCATTAAATTCAATTCATAACGTAACATCTTTTCTTGTATTTACACACACAAGTGTGTTATCAATATAATAATATCAAATTACAACATCATTTATTTATCACCTGTTGATAACTGTGACTTCTAAGGGTTAAGTGTTAAGGGTCAGTGTTTGATTACATTTCATGCTGGATTTGTTCATGATGCTAGCATTTCAAAACAAAAAAGTATTTAACTTTCAGCAAGCTTTGGTAGGAGTGAACAGGTTAGGGGTGTCAAAAGAAATGAGATTTGAATGAAAACAGACCCGTGACCTTGCCCTCCCTCTGTACTCTGCCACTGCATTGCTTGAAAAAGGCAATAATCTCCTAGTGAACTATGTGACAAATAGGTTTTAGGACAATTTCTTGATGTGTTTTTACAGAACAGTCACACACCAGAAGGAATTCCTCTATAGGGACATCCTGAGGAACCCCTACATAGTCTTTTAGAACCTTTAGATTATTTAAAATTGCCTAAATGTGCAGACTGAAGTCTGAACAAGAGTGTTGGATGTTCTGAAATGTGGTCATTACATAAATGATTACATATCCACTAAACACAGCCAATGCTCTCATTGAAAGATGAGTCATGAATGGGAGAGAATGGTCGACTCCTGAATAGTATGTTCACTGTATTTCCAAGTGTTATGACTGTGCTGTTCACTTTGAAACAGTCTGAATGTCCCTTTCTATTCTTTGCTGCTTTGTTCCTCCCTCTCTCCTTTCTCTCTCTCCTTGTGCATCTTCTTCATGTTTAATAAAGTATGGTCAGTAGCAACTGGATGTTGTGGTGTCAGTGTTTGCAACAAATCTAAGACATCCAGTTTATCTATTATGTGGCCTACTCTTGGGCTGAGTATTGGACTTCTTTGATTAGGCTTGTCACAGTCATGAAATTTTAGCTGACGATTAATTGGCATGTAAATAATTAAGACTAACAAGTTAATTGTCTTTTTTAGTCCAGTATGTGAAATATCCGCTGGAATGTTGAGGGGGGGGTCCCATGTTGGTTGGCTACTCCAGCATCGGCTGGCTGCTAACTCACTTGCCATAGCAGTGCTAATACATTCTTTTGGAAATGCTCTTTTCTAGTTTGGTAATGCAGCCTTCCACACATTAATTAAGATCTTAAACATCTCCTCTTTTGTCTTTGGTTTGAAAATTGAGTAACAATTCACTCTTTCCACCATTCTCCAGCAAAATTGGGCAATTTTCAGATATTCAAATATGCTATGGCATATTGTAAAGGTTTTCAGAGTTTTCCCAGGCATAGTTATAGTTGCTAGGCTATGAAGGACCAACTGGGTGAACTAATTTGCTACAGCGCCACCCTAAAGCAGACCAGTGCTGCATCTCTATTTGGTTAAGAATATCAAAGACAGAAGCTCACTGATTGCGGGTGAAGCAGCTAAACAATGACATTTCCCTGAGTGTCTATTTTTCTCCAAGGAAACATAACTTCATAAGTTTATTTTTATTTTGAGACATTCAGAGGGTCCAAGAGGTTAATTAGGGGTTACCCAGACCCCCCAGGATCCACTGTATGTCGCACTTTGTTTTAATCATTGAATGCAACAATTACAGTACAAGCCTTAGGTGGCCAAACTGGCTGTTTAGCTTATTATCTTCCTTTCTAGTGGTTGAAACTTTTTGGCTCCCACCTGACGACAGACACAGTCTGAGCTCAACTAAACAAACATTATTCACCGCTGCCCTCTAAAGTTGTTATAGCACCGATCAGAAGTTATAACATTGTAAGACCCATGATGTCTAAATTAATGCGCTTTCTACTTTGTTTAACTTACATGTACTTATGTCAACCCACCTGATAAAACACGCCCAATTCACATTCTGAAAAACACCCCTAATTCACATTCTGAAAAACACCCCTAATTCACATTCTGAAAAACACCCCTAATTCACATTCTGAAAAACACAACCAATTCACATTTTGAAAAACACACTCAATTCACTTTCTGAAAAACATACTCACATTCTGTTGTTGCGAAGGAAATCTATGATTGTAGAAGCTAACAAATGTGAAAAAGTAATTACAGTCAGTTTAAAAAAATTGAATCAGTTCAAATCATTGTGTGTTCAATTATTGAAAAATTGTGACAGGCCAAGTGATGGTCCCCACTGAATTACTTTGGTATTGTCAGTAAATGTACCCACTTCATGAGGGGTACATGATGTAAAGCATCCTGCAACTCATCTGAAACTCAGATGCAACTTCGTGGAACAAGTTTCATGAGACAGCCAATTGAAATTCAGTGGACAAGAAAATGAAACAAATGGTAGTTTAATGGGTGGTTGAAAGGGGACCCGCCCTGACTGACTCAAGGTTGGTAGTTGGTAAAAATGCTGCAAATATGTAAATCACACCTCACAGATGATTTTATAGGGAGAGGGATATTTACAAAAATACGTGATGCTAATCTGGTTATCTAATAGAGTAATCAAATGTGTAATTAAGATTGTTTTTGAATTGCTTTGTGCAACTTTTAAGTTGCACTGAAATTATGTTGCATGCAACTCACAACATGCAACTAGTTGCATGAACATTTCACTATGTAAAGCCAGACTACCAAGAAATTAGAGAAAAAAATGTTCTTTTAAAACACATTATGTGGATCACATCAAACGGCGTACTTCCAAACCACTGGTGTTACCAGTTCAGCGGACAAGAAAATAAACCAGATGATCGGTTAATGGGCAGTTGAAAAGGAGACCTGCCCCGACTCACTTAAGGTTGGTAGTTTTTTGTTCTATCAGTTTCCTGAACCATGACAACAAAGTTTCTCAAAGCTGTTGTTTCTGCAAGCAGCTGTGTAAACTAGCCAGATGCTTCTTGTTTGGCCTGCGATCATCATGATCTACTTAGCTAGATTCATTTTCTTCTCTTTATGTTCCCTAATTTTACACAGGGGAGACTGAGATGCATTCCTTGATGAGCTTGTGGTGCTTCTAGAACAGGATGAGCAAGACATCAAGTAAATTATATAATTACATAATAGTAATGGCTACTTAAACATTAACTTTCAAAGGCTTAACATACACACAACAGATAAAAAAACTCAAATATATAGTAAACAACCACAAATAGAAAGATAAAACACACATATAGAGATAGGAGTAAAGAGAACAGCAACGAAAACTGGAAAAAACAGATGAACATGGTGAAAATACTGCAAATATGTAAATTACCCCTCAAACATGACTTTATAGCGAAAAGGATATTTTTAAAAATATGAGCCGCTAATTTGCTTGTATAATGGAGTAATCGGATGTGTTGTGTGCAATTTTGATTGTTTTTGAATTTCTTTGAGAAACTATCAAGTTGCACTGAGACTATGTTGCATGCAACTCACAACATGCAACTAGTTGCATGAAAATTTCACCTTTATTAAGCCAGACTATTCAGAAATTGTCCTTTCAAAAGAATCTGAGCCGCTTTCTTGTATTTTTTCCAATGAGGTGCACTTATGACACTTATGTGTTTGGTTTTATGTACCAAAAACAGTCATAATTCATTTCAAATAACCATTTTCCAAAGTCTCTTTATCCCTTAGAATTAAACAGGCCGTTTTGGTCACTGTGCTTGTAAGATCAATGTATGTAAATGAGAAAAGCAGTCCAGGCTAAAACACTCCTAAAAACTTCAACGTGAATGGGCGGGGCTGAACTGCTACAGGCTAAATAGTTGGATGTATGCAAATGTGAATACACAAAACAGCTAATTCACAATGGCCTTTTTTTACAGCATAATGTCCGTTCTTCTACACCATGACCTGTATAGACGGTAGAATCCCTGGTACATTTCAGAATATTATAAATGTATACATCAATCTATTTTCTTAAAAACAAGCAGGGAAAATTCAGTTTTTCATTAAATGGGTGCTTCAAGCTGACAAAGTACCATACAGCATATTAGTATAGCAGTCTTGTATGCCTATGATTCATAGGCCTTTGGTCACTAATCAGCAAGAAGGCATAAGACATACATGGCCATGTATGAAATATCCAGGAGTATCTAATACAATCTAATACAAACAAATTACTTAATAAATTCCTGACCAGTCATGCTGTTACATTAAGGTCATCCAAATCTTCTTTTAAAGTTCAACTCACCATTTAGAGTTTCAACCTACACCTAAACGATCTAAACATTGTAGGAGGGTAGATCTTCAAAGGAAAGATGCATGGTCTCTCAGCATGACCAGTGAGGCAATTATCTAAAAATAAATAAGTAAATACATACATACATAAATACAGGAAGACAGAATGACGTGTGCATTTCTGCTCACTGGCCACAAAAGGGTGCCACTGAGCTGACAGCACCAACAGGGTGTTCCCACTCTGGAGTATGTATAAACAATGCAATGGAGCTTATTACTCAGTTTCTACTGGATTGGTTCTAATTATGCCTGATTTTTTTCTGCAATTCACTGCCAAAATTATTTAGTAAAAGAGGAATTCAGCCAAGAGTACAGTTGGAACGAACATGACACTCAGACTGCAGAGCTCCAAATGAGTTACTACAATGGGGTTTACCCTTCACCACTTCACCAACTGTTTGAATCATGAAAGGAAGAGGTGTGAGCTTTTTTTTTCGCAGAATTTATCACACCTTTCTGGCCCATGAGGGAGATGGTTTCCTGTGCAGCAAGAATGTGACAACCAGCTGTTATTATTATTCACCCTGTTGCCAAAACAGAGGAGTGCCGTTACCAAAGCTACAAGGAAAAAAAATGCAAGTGGTTAAAGGGGAATCCTGCTGACTTTTCAACATATCTGAGAAATTAAATCATTAAGGTACATACAAGTCATTAACAGTGGTTTGATGTGAAATGCTCTGTTCTCCAGAAATGTACATAGTAAAAATAGTTCACAATGGTGGTGATAGGAACCAGACATCCGGGACATTAATAATGCATCTAATATCAACCTCACATGAGGTTACTATGCAAAATGATTATAAAATGATGCCAAAGATGATCATATGGTAAAGAAATGCATGGGCATTTTGTGAGATAGTTTTCAAATACACTAAAGTATACTTCAGAACAAAAAAAGTATACATTTTTGAATTAATTTGATAAATGTGTTTTGTATATACAAACCCCATTTCCGGAAAGGTTGGACAGATTTCTCCAGATTCCCTGAATCTTTTCACAATATTATGTACAGTAGATGGTGAAAGACCTAAATTTGTTGCACTCTTGTGTTGAGAAATGTTCATTTTGAACTGTTTGACAATTCACTCACAAAATCTGGCGTAAAATGGTGAGCCATGACCCATTTTTGCTTGCAAAGACTGAGCCTTTGGTGGGTTGTTTTATACCCTCACCTGTTACTGATTCACCTGCTTACTGAATTGAAATGTTTAAAAACGTTTAACTTAAATATTCTGTAAAGTTTTTGTACTTTTGTCAGTTGAATAAAGGTTCACAGATGGCACAGCAAGAAGGGCCTGGGTTCGATTCCCTGGCCGGGTGACCAGGGTCCTTTCTATTTGAAGTTTGCATGTTATCTTGGTGTCCGTGTGGGTTTCCTCCCACAGTCCAAAGACATACAGATAGGGCAAACTGGAGAAACTGAACTGCCCCTAGGTGTGAGTGTGTGACTGTGTATGTCTGGCAGTCTGGCCTGTGATGGACTGGTGACCTGTAGAGGGTGTTTCCTGCCTTCTGCCAAAATGGTGCTGGGATAGGCTCCAGCACCCTCCGTGACCCGGGAGGAGAAGTGGTTTAGATGATCAGTGAATAAATAAGGGTTCAAGTGAATTAACAAATCCCAGATTGCTTTGTTGCATTTTACAAAATTTCCCAACTTTTCCAGAAATGGGGTTTGTAAGTTTTCTGTTTGGAGAGGTAAGACTGCGGCCTTACACATATTTTTTGAAATCCAGAGGCATTATAAATCCAAATACTGAGAGAGAAATTCATTTTATTTTACCATTATCAACTGTACATATAAAAACTCAGAAGATAAGGTCCACTGTTCATTGGCCCTGGTTCTGATCACCACCACTGTGAAGAAATGCCCCTGATAAATTTCTCTACAGCTCTTCCACGTCAAACCCATGTGAATGACTCTTTTGACACCCCAGCAACTGAATTATGCAGACATTTTGAACAATCAGTTAAATTCTCCTTCAAAAGCTACCAGTAAGGAACAAAGAGGCCCTTCTCTGCAGCCCAGCTGAGCCCTTTGACTGGAAAACTGGAAGGACTGCCAGATACAGTCACCAAATTCATTCAGTTTAAGGTTTATATGAAGCGAGGTCTGCCTTAAAGCCCCTCCCTCACCACTTTCCTTACAGACTTTCAAGAGAAGATATGGCCAACGCCCCATTCACTCCCCCACCGCTTCTCTCTGCCTCAGGAGAGGCAGTTTCCCACTCGTGGTCATAGAGTCCGAACAGGCGCTCGGTTAGTGCTTGGGGGTATACATTTTGTCAGACACTTTTTTTTTGGTCAGTTCACTCCCTCAAAGTTTGTCGTCACCTCGAAAAGCCCGCCCGGCTTTCATTTTCTCCTCAGGACTACTGCAAGAAGAAGGGCCATTTTAAAGACGTGCGTATACTTTGTGTAGAGTCTGTAAAGGCTGAAGGCTGGAGACATGGCAGACACAGACGCTAGTCCTGCTACCAACTGTGTGGAGAAACTGAAGACCTACGTACGGACCCGGAAAGGAACTATTCTGGCTGTTGAAATAGTAAGTTCCTCTCTGAGTTGTCTGTGAGCTCAGCTGTTTTTTCCTGTTTTTTTGCACCGTTGTTAACAGGCCGCGTTATTTTCTGCATGTCTAAATGCGAGTCGCCATTAAACTCAAGTGTAGGAAACTATTTTACGCTATGGTTCATTTTGTAAGAACTGGGCTTGTGTCTGGAGAGTTGTGGAGTTACAACCACGCCAGCTCTGAGTTTTGTCAGTTTATGTCACTGACCAAAATTAAAAGTACAGTAATACGAAGTGTGCTTACATTGGCGGATGCAGCAGCCTTCATATCCAGTCAAAGCAGGAGTCTACAAAGTTCATCCGCTCTGTTTTATCTTCACTTTTACCGTGTAGAAAAGAAAATGAACTTATTTTCCAGCAAAGTAAATTTGTTAAAGGGGAATTCCAGCAATTGTTTTTCGAAAATATCCTCATAATTCTATCCTTGAGATGTAAACAGTCACTCTGAGCGGTTTGGTGTGAGATGGTTCATCGTAGAGAAACGTACGGACTCTGATAGTGTACAGTGGTGCTAATAGGAACCAGGGGTCACAATGTCTACCACACAAATATAGCTATTGTGCTTACTATCCAAAACCACCAGTGAACCTACATGCGCCTTCTGAGTTTTTATATGTGTTGTTAATGATGGTGAAATAGTAGAAAATCTACAAAAAAATTGTTTCCTTTGGGGACTATTTTGCCTTACAACGCCCTGCATGTATCTCTGGACTATATGTCTAAAAATATGTGACCATGAATGGATTAAAATACATTCAAGCCAAAACCTTATCACAAATCTAAAATAGAACAATGTGTCAGACAGCAGGCGGTGCATTTATGACCATTTCATGTAATAACTTTCTGTGAGGGAGCTTTTAGAGGTGGACGTACGGTTCCTGTCACCACCACTGTGAATAATTCTGACTCCGTTTCCCTAGAACAGGTCATTTTACATCAAACTACTCTGCTTACATCTCAACCATGTCATTGTGTAGAATTTTTGAAAAATCAGTGATGTTCCCCTGTAATAACTATGCTGAACAGTGGAGTTTGAGTTTGAACAGCGTGCCGTACTGTGATACTGACGCACCGCAATGTCACTGTTCAGTTTTTTAGATATGTAATGAGCCTTATATTGACAACACATTGCTTATGCCATTTATTGGGTGTTTCAGGCTGATTTGAAAGAACAGTTTATACACAAAAAACTAAAATAAGTAGTTGTTTTTTCTGGAAATGTGCTTTCTGGTCTGGTTAATGTTTACAGTATTGTTCAGGGTTCTCTTAGGTGTACTTTTATGAGAAGAAAGACCAAACCAGCCCAGTAAAAAGCAAGATTTATTAGGTTTGTAAGGTATTCCTTTAGCACAGATTGGCAGCAGGCATTGGCATTTATCATTGTGGTCATAAATGACACATTACATCACAATACACTTTTCTGACCCTAACGTTGATACTGTCCGTACTTCGAGTCTACATGAAATAAAAGTTAGACCCTTTTTACCTTGTAGGTTCATGCCATTGGTTTTATTCAGCACAATACATTATATCATTTAAAAGACAAAATTCTCGTTTTTATATAATCTTTAGTTGAAGTGTAGTAACTTTTTTTCACCTCAGAACAACTTGAAACTTTGATTACATCATCATGCACCAGTGGGTGGAGAAAAAATAATATTATCCAGTAATATCACGTTTCACATCCCCTTTCTCCCGCCTGTCATGAAGCACAAAAACTCAGCTAGCTTAGAGACCATTTGTAGTATCATGCTTTACTCTGAAATATGTCTTGGTATGATTTGATTCACATAGACCAGTTTAAGTGAATGTACTTCAGTGCAGTATGTGAAAGGCTGAATAAAAATCATTGCACCAATTTGTCAAGTATCAAAAAAACGAAATATCATGACGCATATTGTGTATATTGTGTATCTTAACCAAAATACCATATGATAACCGCAAAATACAGTTGTGCTGTTATGGACAGAGGTCAGTATTAAAACTAAAGGCAATCATAGCAGACAGTAGTAATACCAGTTGGAGGAGTGTCACTCTACAGTGTGCCATTTTAACATGAGTGTGTAGGGGTGGCGAAGAATTTTGACTATGTGTGGCATGAAGTAGAAGGTCATGACGTTTCACCTGTGTGCTTAAGTTAGTAGACCAGAGACTTCCTTTTGCTTTCACATTAAATGTGGTGGTGGTTTTGGCTAAAACTGTGGCTAACGTTCATCTGTATTTGGGTTATACCTGATGTTAGTTTTAATACAAATGCTTTTCTTATTTCAGGAAAGCTAATCACTTAAATTACATTCAAACCAGTGGGGAATCATGGCGATTAGTGTTAGGCCTTTAATTCGGGCCATTCAGGTCAAAAACCACCTCTTTGATACTGCTAATCCCTATGGGATTCTAGTAGTTTGTGCTAAGAGCGGCAATTCTGATGAACATTGTTTGGCTGTTCGAGATTAAACAGAGATATCTGAAGCTCCTAAAAGACATTCCATATTTTACTTGAAGCATGTGACAGACATGTTAGCACATATTTTACCTCGCAGCAGTTTCTCTTTCAGTAGAGAGGTCTGGTACTGAGCTGCATCTCATGAAGTCCTGACCAGTTGGAGTGCCCACTTAGCTACATCAGTGCATATACCATGGACAAAAACAGTTTCAGAATGGCCAGTTTTCCACTGTCCATTTCAGGAATTTAACCCTTTTGTTTCCTCCCAGAACTTCAAACAAGAGTAGTACGGTAGTGCTTTTTTAAATAAAAGCGTGATTAGTTGAACTACAAATGACACGTGTTCCCAGAAATCTTTAGGCTTTCTCATGAAACTTTATACAATTTGTGTGCATATTAATAATATTTACATTGAATAAATGAAAAATTCACTGCATAGTTGAAAAGGAAAGAGAAAAAGAAAGAGTTAAGAAGCCTCATCCACAAATACAAACAAATAAGCATAAAAATTTAAAAATGAATAGACATAAAAAAAAAAATTTGAAAAGGCCAGTTGGCCTTTATGATGTGTCAAAATTTCATACTGAAATTTTTCGTGTGTGTGTGTGTTTATGTACATATAAATATACATTAAACTATTTAAGAAAAGTGACCATACTGTACTTAAAGAAAGAAACAGTTCTAGTGAAATGACCAGTGTCTGGCACCACCCTGTTTTTTTTTGTCCAAATAGTGCAGACTCATACACTAACTTTAAGCTGCAACTGTGTAAAAAACCGGCAGTTTCAAAAGAGAAGGAAGTGCTTTAAATAGGAGCATTGGTGCAGGGAGACGCACCATCTGCTAAAACTATACCTTCCATTTTCCAAGGAATGTGAGGCCCTGTGAACTGACCATTTCTTTCCATAGGCTACAAAACATCTGGCTTGATTCTATTTCGTAGTGTAAACTGCATGTAGCACCTTTGATAGGAGCAATTTTTAATAAGATGCTTCAGTCTGTTATCTGCTCTTCCGCTCATGCTTGTGCCATCAGACTGTGCTCTTGTTTGCTGTTTACGACTAATCTCAGACTAATCTGTGCTCGCCGACATCACCTCCTTCCACTGTGGTTACTATCCAGAGCTAACTTAAAGGAGTAGTTTAGCAAAAAAATACTTTATGTGATTTTCCCTGTCTCCTAAATGTATTCAGGTAGCCAAGATGTGTTTGCTGTCTGAAGTTTGGTTCTTTAGCTCTGCGCTGGAAGTACAAGGCTAATGTAGCTAACAAGTAATGGTAGTTTATAGCCACCCAGTTTAGCAGAGCCTAAATCATCATACACCTATTTCAAACCACACTGAGTAATACTTACAGATAATACTTTCTTATGTGGTGTCTGACACATGTAACAGTACAGTGAGGTGTCAGAAACTATTTGGGATTAATTAACAACACAGTTTCAGGCAACTGTACAATGATTTAGGTGTGTAGTTTGCAAAATGCTAACTAGGCCTGAAAGGTACATCGTTTTTATATTGACATTGCGATTTGAAAGACCTATAGTGTTAATTATAATCTGTATTATCAATAATTTTGTCTTTATAAGTTTTAATTGGGGGAATTTAACCTTTAATATACAGAAATCAATTGAAATTTAAATCGCAGTAACAGTACTGTGCAGAAAAATTGCAATTGGGAATTTTACCCAAATGGTTCAGCCCTAATGCTAACTGGAAGGGCATAGGCTAGGTTAGCCTTGTAGCTCCAGTGCAAAACTAAATAAACAAACTTCAGACACTAAACATTAGGACAGACTTTATTCTATTCTATTCTATTACTCTGGGAATCTATAGATTACATAAATGGTTAATCATCAGTTTTTTTAACGCTATTAAAAATAACAATAAAAAACATGTATGGCCTTTTAAGAATTCCCAGATTTCTTCATTTAAAAAAGTACATTTTGGAGTCATTGAAAATTTGCCTAGTGTAGTTTCAATTTTTCATCTAACTATTCCTTTAATATCACACATCTCGATGTTGACGTAATCAAACACGGTATGAAAATGTTGAATCCAGTTTCTAGTCTTCATTCTGATCATTTGTTGCTGTTCCGTAACAGTTGATGTGGTCTGAGTATGCTGCTCTTATCTTGGATATGTGTGCATTCATGGCATTGCAGAGAGGTTAAAGGCTGATTAAAGGAATACTCCAGCACCTATAGCATACCATCAGTTACTGCAGACTGCAATTTTGCCGTGTTTTCTTGTATTCAGAAAAGAAGTTAAAAGAGTTCAAACACACACTAGAAGACAACGGGCAGATGCTGAAGCCCCTTCTCACTGGCTTCTGTCAGAAGTGAACGTTGAGCAAGAGCTTTTCTGTTCTTTTCTAAGTAAAAGGGAAATGAGTGTTTATGGTAATTGACCATGTAACTACACCTATGCAGCAGATAGAGTCTTTGATGAAATAGGCTGAAGTTTCAGATGTGGATTTTATGTAGAATATGCTCTGCAGCTGCTCTCACACTGAGCACAGAAACTCACAGATGCG